TTGCTTTTGAACCGCCAACTGGAAGTCCAGTGTTTACCCAACAGGGCCACTGGAACACGCCACCCAGTATGTAGTATCTCTTTTCTTTGAGTATTTCTTTAAGACTTTATGGTTGATTAAATGAAGGTTTTCATCCCTCAATTATGTCTTACTGATTGATATTTTCCTGTAGGACAGAGACCATTTCACAAATGTTCTGTTCGATTTCTTACACTTAGGTTTTCTTTTAATCATCTAGCTGTTTATTGTGATTCGGGCTCACGGCAGCCCCCCACGTGCACAGTAGAACTGCTGCGGGGACCTTCAGGGCTTTCAGAAGCAGCACACCCACCTCGGCCTCCGAGGTCGATTTGGACAGCTAACTTGTGGGCTAGTCCTCACTTAACCATATGCATTTAAGTCAGTGCGTTCACAAGCAGAACTGTAAGAAAGAAAGTGCTGAATTGGTTTAAGGATCACTTATATAATAAGGCTTACATCCCACTAGCATTCGCCACCATGCTGCAAATGCACCACAAGCCGGAGCAGCCATCCTGGAAAAGAGGCGGGGCTCACAACAATGAAAAGCCCGGGGAGCACCGAGCCGGTAAAGTATGCGGTCCCAGGTATGCTACAAACAACTTAGGGAGCAATCCTAGAGGCATGGTCTTTAACTTCACGTTCAGGTATAAGAACAAAGTCTTAAGGCCACTTTAAGAAACTACAGCCAAGCGATTAATAAACATGGACATCCTTAAGAAGATCTTGGGGACAAGGAAATAGGAGGGGAAAAAACTGATGACGGAAAGTGACAATTTCCCCCCAGACACACATGAGGAACCTTTGCTACGAACACATCAAAGCCACTCTCCTTGTTGCCTTAACATGAACTTTGTCCGAGGCATTCAAAAGAGAGCATATGTTGAAACGTTCGACAAAAGTAGTACAGCTTCCTGATAAACATAGAAAAATCTCACCTACTCAACATGTCGGGTCATGTTCCTTTAAATAGTTTACCCAAACTGTAAAGGTTCACTTACTCTGCCCACCTCCTAGATGGAGGTGTCACACCTCTGTGGCACGAGATGCAGCCTTTGAAGGTAGCCAAGATGAGCCCAAGCAACCTCTGTGCCTACTGATGCCATCAGTCATCAAGGAAGGCAAATATCACACGAGTGGTTTCAAACTCTCTTCCGAAAACTCCAGGAGCCCTGTTGGCGAGTGGTTATGCATTGAGCGGATCACAGCAAAGTTAGCAGTTCAAAACCACCAGCTTCTCCAAGGGAAAGCGAGGAGGCTGTCTACTTCCATGAAGATTTACAGGCTCCGAAACCAACAGGGCCAGTTCTCTTCTGTCCTAT